ATATAGATATAGAGATATATATATAGATATATAGATAGATAGATAGATAGAGATATATATAGATATAGAGATATATATATAGATATATAGATAGATAGATAGATAGAGATATATATAGATAGATAGATATAGATAGATATATATAGATATATATAGATAGATATATATAGATAGATATATATAGATATATATATATAGATATATATAGATATATATATATAGATACATAACGTAAACAACATCAACAAAAACAATTGTCTGGGCAGATAATATGACAGAAAACATGGTCCATCAACTTTGACTGTGTTTGAGCATCAAGCATACCTTGTTATGTTATAATGAAAATGGTCTAAGCTCTTTTGAGGATTTTTAATGTTATTTTAACCCATTCTTTTTTTCAGACTGGAAAAACATGTGCATGCTGCCTGAGTCCAGACCTTTGAATTCAGCCCCTCCATTGAGTTTGAGGTGACTGATTTGTCTGGCATCGTGACATGAAACAGACTTTTCTTGGTTAAAATGTAACCAACCAATGAGCTCTGTTTGGAGACTAATGATGAACTAATTAACGCCAGGGGCGGGACTAATGCCATTGTCAAGCGGTTGTGAAGCGTTGTCGAGCTGTGCGCTGTAGATGGCAGTTTTTCTCGATTGTAGTGTATCTTATACTTCGCTCTACTCCACTCTTAAAACCCCAGCATAACTTCTCAAAAACAATGGCTTCGCATCAGTGTTGACTTAAAATGCTGTTAGATTCCTGTAGATACGTTGGTCTCTAGTGATTGGATCGGAAAATAAACTTAGTGGAGTCAATGTCAGACTGAAGATCGAAACTGAGTTGACAATACTGTTTATATCAGGCAAGTATGGATGAATATCCCTTTAACATCATGCAATTACAATAAGCAGCGGTTGCACTGTAAAAGCATTGATTGATTTATTAGATGTCTTACAAAGAACTCATGGCCCTCTCTGTTCATATTGACATAAGACAACTGGTGCCACTGCTCATCTTTTGATTCATTTCCATAAGTATGATTACTTTGGGAATAGATCTAGATCTAGCTCTAATCAACATCCAATGTAGATGCAGACCAATCCAATCGTCTCAAAATAGATCAGTGCATGTCGATGGATGTTCATTTCACAATTCACTTGGTTTTCAAACTATGGACGGAGTAGAACATGTGAAATAGTAAAACTCAAGTGTCAGTGGGCGCAAAGACTTTATACTACAGGACAGACACAGACCAATATTGTACTCATTTGTAGATGTCAATACTACCTTCCTACTGTACATGTTGCTGCCTACCGACATGGGGACCTATTGACGTTACCTGGCAGAGGAGCTCTCGAAGCCTTTCACATTCTCCAGCAGGATGAATCGGGGCAGCCTGCACAGCCTGGCCACACGGTCATATGCAAGAGAGGAAAGGATGAGAGGGCTTATTGACAGAAAGTATGCAGAGAAGATGTCCACAATTCACTTTGCCATCTATATTGCCTATGTTCATTGTTCACCATTTCCAAAGTGTTTGGTTTTCAGCTCCACTGTCTAAAAGGAGAAGTAACACTGAGGAGGAGATCAGATCAGGAGCAGAGGCGGAGATCAGCGTAGGACAGAAGAACTCAGTGAGACTGAGACAACACAGGGAAACCTGCTTAAATCCAGAAATAGCAAGCTCATTATAATTACTCTGTATGTACACTATTCATTCTTATTGAATAAAACTAAGCTTCCAAGGCTTCTTCAACAACACTTTGGTGGCCCATTGTATTCTAATAATTCTCTAAAATGTTATTAATGCTAATCTTTGCCCCTCAAGAGAGGGACTAGCATTAGAGGTGTTAGGACAGGAGCCCTATATTGTATTCTACAACAAGGAATATACCTGCTTCGGTCCCTTGGCTCTGTCAGAAGGAGAGAGACCTTTCTAACACATACTGACATTATTGATAACAATTATTGTGATCATTACAACGTCTGTTTACTGTCATTTGAAATGTGAGTTTTAGTGCCTTTATGCTATACAAGGAAGAAACACAACAAAAACGGAGTACGAAAGATGAGTGTCTTATAGCCAGAGGAAAGAAGTTGCTTTATGGTGCGACAGCGGATACTTCTGTATCACTTGCCAGACGGCAACAGGGTAATCAGGCTGTTACAGGGGTGGGCATTGTCTTTCAGTTTCTTTAGGGTTCGGATGCTCGGTAGAGATCGATCAAAATGGGCTTTCCACTTTTTTTTCTCTCCCCCTGCCTACTTGCACACATCCAAAGGATGTTGATCTGTAGTTGAAAATAGTTTTCATATACTAAGGGCAAGAAAAAGCTGAATGTGGAGAATGTAAACACCTTGGCAGAAGATGTAGGATGTAGAGGAAGCTCTTGGTTCTGGGGTCAACAATGTCACCCTGAAGTCCTATCCTGCACATGAAAAAAAAACAAAGAGTTTAGTGGGAAAACTACTTGAAATTGATAAAAGACATTAAATACAGTGATTTGAAATAAGTTACTATCATATATTGCCATATTAATGAATCAAGCCAACTGTGCTGGCAAGCGTTGACTTCAGACTTTCCTTTTTGATAACGCTTATAGTTAGGGCTGGCTCGGGTGTATAGTTAGGGCTGGCTCGGGTGTATAGTTAGGGCTGGCTCAGGTTTGCCTTGGACCAGCCCCTAGATATGCTGCTCTAGGCCTGGACTGCCGGGGGACTTGCTAGGATACACTGAGCTCCTCTCTCCTCTTCCTCTCCAGCTGTATATATTCATGTCCCATTAATGCACATTACTAATTTGACATTACCAACTGAGTCTTTGTGCTTTCTCTCCTCACAGGTTTCCATGCATCGTGGTCATACCTGGACCGTGGTCGTGTCTCCTGGCATGGCTCTACCTGACACCCGCTGCTACTATTATTATTAGTCACATTACTTTTATTATTCCGATACTATTAATGCTTTTATTATCATTATTATTTTGTTACATCCACTGCTGCTGTTATTATTTGAAACCATTTTTATAATACAATATAATTCTGCAATTATTAGTGCTACTCCTGCTATTACAAGTCTCATGTTTTTCAATTATATCATATAGATTGACTATGTTGCAATCTTATTATGTTGTTCATTCTGTACACCAGACATTTATTGCACTTCTGTCCATCCTGATAGAAACCTCATGCTCTGCCTGAGGTTTCTTCCTTTTTTTCCTGTTAAAGTTATTATTATTATTATTTTTCTTTATTCTGATACGTGGGTACAAGAATAGAGGATGTTGTATGTGCGGAGATTGAAAAGCCCTCTGAGACCAATTTGTGATTTTGGGCTATACAGAAATAAATTGAATAGAAATTGATAATAGAATGAAGAAACAGTAACAGGTGAGATGTAAAATAGTATAGGCCATTTCAGTTTCACGTAAACATTCCAAATGTCCCAGTTTATTTCCCATTACAGTGTATGTGAATGACATACGCAAAGCTAAGAAGTAAACATGGACCCAAGCTGTAGCCCAGCAATGCAATTCTGTTGAAAGGGTCTATAGTGGCCACATAAGAGATCTTAAAAAGGTGCAAATCAAGAAGCACTGATGGATAAACACCAGACTGAACTTGGGTTCGTTGTCACCAGCTGGACACACGTTTTATCCTGTAGAGTCTGGCTTCTGGATGTTGCAGTTAAGGTTACATTTATTTTCCATTCCTGTAACTCGTGTTACAGACTGTTGTTACAGTCTAGTTTTACAGTATGTGACTGTTGTTACGGGCTGTAAAACGTTTCAAATATTTGCCTAGTGCCACACTGATGAAAAATGGATTTGATTATCTTAATTGCATAGTGAAGAAATTAATTCATATCATAACCATTTCAAGTTATAAGTCAACTTAATTCAAAATACTGCTTCTCTATTACAGGAAAGGGCTGCTCCAGACTGTTTAAATGAATCTGTGTCACAGCAATCCTTTTAAACTACAGGTCCAGTATTTTTCTGATCAGGCTTCTTGTTACAGTAGTTTGATTTTAGACCATGATTCAATAAAACAATGAAATATTAATTAATCAGAAAAGTTTTTTAAGTTATTTTGGGTAAATTATTCGTTAGATAAATCGATCATTTAAAAAAAATGATCTTTAGAATAATCTTTAAATGAGTCGTTTAATTAATTGATTTATCAAAAAAACTAAAGTTAGGTGCAGCCCTACTAAATTAATTTACATCGTGTGTGGTCTCCCTCTCTGTCCTGCTCACTGAGCCTGGGCTGTGACAAAATATTCAAATCACATTGAATACAAAACAGACAACACCTACCTGGTAAAAGGCTGACAAGGAGGACTCATCAAAATCATGTCAAACGGTAATTTATTGAAGTCATCTAGTGTCATGCCCTAAAAATAAAGGAAGATAAAAAAACAAGACAGAAAACAATTGAAGTGTTTAAGAGTTATAACATTGCAAAGCCCCAAACATTGGATTGTCTGTGAAGCCCTCTATGTGTGTATATTTAAATGGTCATCCTCAATATTTCTGTTGAGGACCACAGAAAGGTTAAGAGAGGCTTAACACACCAGCAGTCCATCGAGTACAGGTTTGAATTGCTGTTTTGTTCAGATGCAAGCCGTCATGCCCCCCTCCCCTCTATCACCCACCTCAATGGTCTTGTTCCAGAGGGTGGTGTCAGGGAAATTGTGCTTGTAGATTTGATTGGCTGTTGTGTTGATGTCGATGGCAGCCACTACCTGAGCAGGTATGCCACTCTCTGGAGGAAGAGAAAAAACAGATAAAGGTTTCTTTAAAATATTTTAGCTACTGTCATCATCCTTTCCTCTTGAAATGTTTTTTCTTTTTGCTGATACGGTCCAAATTGTGATTTCTTTGATAAAGTTTTTCAGGTTTATTCACACAAGCCCACGTAATGATACTACATAATAATAATAACTCTATACTTTGAGCCTTTCCAGATGACTGAGAACATGAATACAGTGTATATTCACACCACAGCGTGCAGCGTGACATGTAGCCGTTTGTCCCTCCTCTGGTAGGGAGAGAACATGACAACTAAAGACAACAAGCACCCACGTGGTTCAGCAGAACAGAACCAATCCAAGTTATTCAGCCAACCAATGAGTTTATAGCTTAAAAAAATAAACATATTATCATTGTTCTTTTACATTGTCACAGCTATACCGCTATGGATTATGGGTAACTTTGCCTGCATCCCGGGCTGACTCCACCGTGGTACATACCAAGTCTCTTATTTGTAATTTTCTCGCTCCTCGCTTAAACCTTGTTCGGCGCCGCTATATTGACGGCCGTCCCAAAGCTCATATTTCTGCTCTGAGGAGCGAGGAGGGATCTCTGAGGAGCCATGAGCGAGGACGCAGGAGAGCAGCCTTACAGGAAGTGTTTTAACGGCCGACACGCCCCCTCATTGTTCATCAGCTATTTGATCGGACTGATCAAATTTTTCTAAACATCACTGGAGTTTCACACCAGAGTGAAGACAGATCACAGATTAAACTCTAGTTTATATTTGATTCATTTTCTGATTCAACATCTGGTTTAAATAGATGTTCATTGTAGACTGAACAACAAAAGGACCACAAACAACTTTCTTCATTTATTAGAAAGATTTGTCTTTTCATGATCTGATATTTCCCTCAATAACTTTTATTATGGAAACAATTAAAGGCAGAGAGAGCTTTTTACATAATTTATCATCATTTCATTCAGTCACGTGATGCTGATCATTCCTGAGTGTTTGATGAGTTTTATCATTTAAGTTGAAGCTGAAACATGGAGCCTACTACATTTATTCCAGTATTCAAGAGAAACCATAATCGTATTCTGGGTTAATTAATAATGACGTCACAATCACAATTTCACAACGTACAGACGCAAATAATTCATAAATAAGTAAAATGCATTCTGCCTGTATAAATCGATCCTGTGCTTATAAACAGAACACAGTTGTTAAAGAGGTAACAGGCTACAGATACCTCTACAGTGATGATAACTGTGTTTCTTTATTAGTGTTATTAGATACTATTATTAAGTACAGTGATTATGTGAACAGACACAAACTTCTCAAAAGTCTCTCCAGCTGTTAAAGCCGACTGACATCTGATCCAGCTGTGATCAGCTGATCCTCCGTCATCAGAAACAGACGTCGCTTCACGTGACGTAACTGAGGAAAGGACGTCTCATTTCCCTTAAAACATATTTCCTCGTTCCTCTCTCCTCGCATGGTTTCCTCTCCATGCATCCCTGGTGGGAGGGACTAATACGCAAGGAAAGGACCCATGTGAGGGAAACGGGGATGCAATTAAGAGACTTGGGATGTACCCATAATGTGGTCAGTCTTCGTTAGTCTCGTGAGGACTGTGGCGGAAATACGTCAAATCATAAAACCGACAGGCTCACCCTTTAGAGCGTAATGCATGCCTCCTATCCCACTGTAGAGCTCGAGCACCCGCAGACTTTCCATGGCTGGTAACGCTTCTGCTTCTTCTTCTTCTTCTTCTTCTTCTTCTTCTTCTTCTTCTTCTACTTCTTCTTCGTGGTGTATTACGGAGGTTGTCAAACAACGAAATGGCGCATTACCGCCACCATCTGTTACATTACAAGGTTACAAGTTACAAGTTTTGTACTTGTCACTGTACGACAGGGTTCCACAACGACATTTAGATTGTAATCCCAATCTAAAAAAACAACAAAGACAGAAATAACAACACAAACACACACACATACATACACACACACACACACACACACACA